GCTCTCTAGTCATAAGGGCAAACGCCTGCAAAGCTGCATCACTGAGGACGGAAGCATCCACGGCAGAGGATTGCAGAGAATGGGACAGACTTGGACAGAACTAATATCAAGTGGGGAAAAAGAGTTTCCAGTATGGCCCATGCGCGCCGCTGTATCATAACCTTTCACCAGAAAGTCATCCGTAATGCGACACTGCAGCCTAGGACAGCGAGCAACCGGTCTCAACACTTCAGTGGGTGATACACCGAGGGACGCGATAACTAGCTCCACAGCCAGCATCTGGCCCAGCCCGTAACTGCTGGCATTCTGCATGGTCAGTTGTGTGGTGAGAAAAAGCCTTGGCCAGCATTCCTGGAGCTCCTCAATGTATGGCTGGGAAGATGGCACAGAAAAACCCATCTCAGGTGGGAGATGCCTAAAGACCAGCAGACCTGCAGGGACCACAGCTAGTGCAGCTGTGGTCCCTGCAGTTGGTGCTTCATCCAAGCCCAAGTGTGCCAGTGTCATACGGACCACTGGCTTAATTGTAGCATGGGCAGCCTCTGAGCCTGCTCTGGACCCGCTCCCCGTCTGCTGGGAACCAGTGTCAGAAGCACGGGTGGAAGCCTCCACTTCTCCCTGCCCAGGTCTGTCCTCGCAGAACTGGCTGCAGGAAGCCCTCATAGAAAGGGCATCGTCATCCCATCCTTGAGGGGTGGGGCTCCCGGCGGCCAGTCCACACTGGTTGCAGCCCCCCTGCCTGGCTGAAGGTTAAGGAGCAACCTCTTAATCTCAGCAAACTCTGAGGCTAGTGTGTCTACCATGGCTGCCAAACCATCCACCTTCTTGGCTTTCTTTCTAGGGGGGGCACCTGAAAATGAAGGGCGACTATGTCTACTCCGGATGAAGGCAGCTGGCCTTCAAGCTGCAGTCCTTCCACTTCTGCTAGCCGAGCTAGCTTCAGTTCCCGCGGCATAAAACTGCAATTCATGCACTCTCTCAAGTGAATAACACCGAGGCACGTGGGGCATTCATCATGGCCATCTGCAGCCAGCAGTGGAGCGACAAACATGTGTCCCTAACATGGTGGGACCCTGCATATTTATGCAGCTTTAATATATAAATTTTTCACAACGATAACTGTTACCTAGAAGCGAAAACACCCAAAATAACAGATTAGTGAGCTCTTTTGTCCTTGCCTTGTTATTGAAAACAAATTAAAATAACTCCTCCTTTTAACAATAAAAGTAAACTGTACCCATAAGTGAAATCACTTAGAGTAACAGTTTAAGTTTAACTCTAATTAAATAACTCTCCTTCACTTAATAACCAAAAAATTCACCTATACTGTATATGTAGCTGTTAAGTCTACCGGGGAGCCAACGCTCTTTACCAAAGGATAAATTAAAGTTTACTTGACGTGCTTTAACGAGCGAAAACACTCGGCAGAGAGCCTACAATCAAGAATTACTGCTAAGCGTAAAAAAATTTGTAACAAAAGAGTCAAGGAGATCCGAAAACAGGCTCCTCACTCAAAAAACAACAACTTATTTTTAACTAAGGAAACACTTACCTCGCCGGCCTAACTCCAAAGCTGGCGAGACACGCACTAGCTTGTCCTCAACCCATGCTGATTGCTGGCAAAAACACCGATCTAACAGCAGGTTTAGGAGTGCAGCTGCACTAATTAATCGCAGCCCTTGGAGGACGAAACCGTAGCTGCAGGGTGGTTGACGGTTATTCTCTCTTCCTTCCTTCCTTCCTTCAATTCAACCTGCATTCGTGGATCTGCAAGAAGAGTCAAGGGACATTTTTCCTGATGACGTGGGCTTTTTAAGCTATGCCCCGCATCATCCCAGGTCACAGGTGACTTAAATACTCGACCTGCGCTTGCGCGAGACGGATAACATCCAGTATTAAGCAGTGCCTCTGTCGGTCAGGAAGAATGAAATAGACCCCAAGTTTACAGGTACGGATTGATTCTACAAGTACAAAATAAACCTACAGTTACAAGAAGTTCTGTCCTACAAATTCTACTGATTGACCAATGGGGATGCTCGGATTAACATGTTATTTGACTATCTAATCAGGAACATCAGTTCACAATCCAATCACACAGTTGGGGGCTGGACTTTCTTGCCGGGAGCTTGTGGCTTCATCCCCATTGGTTACGAAGGTGAATATATAAAGAAGCAACCTAAAATATTTAAACGTATGTCTCATTGAATAATTTAATTAATGCGTACATTTACTTTTTATGTTTATCTATTGAGCATTTTTTAATTTCTGTATTCGTTTTCGATTGTGTCAGGGTCCATCCTCCATAGGAAGTGAAGTGGTCTGAAATGAGAGGAGAGGTGAGTAACAAACAGGAAACAGAATGAATGAAGTTCACAGAGAAACATGAGGAAGGATTTATCAAAATAAAACAGGAAATCACAGCACAAACCCAAAAGACTTTCTTCTCTGAGGAAACCTAACCTTAACCTTAAATGTTACCTGATATTATGTGTTAGCCTGGTTGTAGACTAGAATGGTGTCTTCAGGCCAAGCGGGAAGCTTCCGGTCTACAATATGAAGCCGATACAGGAGTCCCTGAAACCTGCATTCTTCTATTGAAAATTTTATAGACTCTTCTGGTTGCAAAAAGAAGTCTGGCTCCAATAGAAATAATGGGAAAATGACCCTACTTCTCAGCTGAATAATTACCCCAGTAAACACTTTCCTGATGAGTTTATAGTCTCAGTCGCTAGTTTCAAGTCTTCTTCAATATAAAATGATGTTCATTTATTAAATTATGGTCCCATTTATTTTAAAACAGACCATAAAGCAGACTATGTTTCAGAGCGGGATTATCTATGATTGACAAGTCGTGACCATGGCGACCTGTCAATCAGGCTAGAGCCGACTTGTACCCTCGAAACTGTGTAAATTTAACCAGCGCTGCTGAAATAGCTTATTAGGAGTCGGCTGTTCACTTTTTCTGGTGAGTACATTGTCAGTCACATACATTAAATTTGGCCTACTGCTTATATTATTTCACCATATGTACACAAATGTAGCCGAAGTTGTGAATGTGTGGCTACAGTGCCAGGGCTGAATTGTTGTCCCAGTCGGCCCCAGATATGAGGGAGCAATAAAGATTTATTGCATTAAGACATTTCTGATTTGGATTCCACACACATGGAATCATTTTCATTTGCTGAATCATCATGAAGACGTTCAGAGCCTCTGCTGCTATAATAATATTATTATTAATAATATTAGAATTTCCACTTTTACTGTCCGTCAGATCGGCCGACCAATCAACAAGCAGCCTGTTTCTGCCCGGTAACAGACGTCCTCATAGGATCCAGCCGGGACTCCTCTCTGCTCCACCTGTGAAAGTGAGGGGAACATCCTGGATGATGGAGGAGCTCGGTGGATCTCTGAAGAAGTGGAGACGAATGGTTTCCAAAGCTTCCAAGGCCCTCATGAGATCACTCCACTCAAAGGTGGACGGATTATTCTCTGATGTTTATTACGACATTGAAAAGTCTCCAAAACAGAATGTGATATTTGCAGAGTTTCAAAGTCTGATTCATCTGTCACCAAAGGCCTTTATCAGACCCATATCCAGCTGATTTCTTCACACGATGAACACAGACCCTTTTCATACTACTTCTGTGTTTTTTCTGAAGTGCTTCTAGCTTTCACAAGCCAAGAATCTTCTGTACGTCTCAAACCAGATGTCTCTTGATATAAGTTGAACCGTTACAACATTAATCAGAACGTCATGACAGAATAACAACGGTACGAAAATGAAAACTTCTAACAGCTGTGGGCCTTTTCCTACAGCTGCTGACTTTTCTGTGTCTGTATGAATAAAGTTTGTTTGACTGCACACATTAGAATGAGCCACAAATATCACAATGGAAAAGTCCAAAGAGCTCCTTAACATTTGTTAAAAATGTTCTAACAAATGTTAACTAACAAATGAAAATGCTTTGAGAAAGGATTATTTGCACAATAAGAAAACTTGCAATGCATTTTAAATACAGAAGAAACAAATGTGCATTGTCCAAGAAAGTAACTTAATCTTAAAAGACAAGCTGCTGATTTCTGCATTATATTCTGTTTTGAATTGTCACCTGCCAGCTGAATGTTTTGTTTCCTTTTATATAAATAAAGACCTTTCCACTTTTCTAAGCCCTTGGTTTAGGCCATGGTTTGGTTTCTTCTAAATAAGGTTAAACTACATCCCCAGAATAAAGTCTGGAACCAGCAGGTCTGTGGCCTGAATATGATCACAGACATGTTACTGTCACACAACCAACATGATGGCTGACTCTTTTTTCTAGATGTGGGGGAAACATTTATAGGCCCATCAGGTTTGTGTTGCTCTGTTTGTGTCTTTGTACTACTACAGGCTACATTCACAACACACAGTTTTCCTTCAGTGGCTTTGTGTTTGCATCTGTTTGGGCTGCTCATTAATGCAGCTGAATAGCCAGCTGATGTCCACATGTTCAGCTCTCTGCCTCCTATTCAAGCTGATCACCTGAAGAGAGGTGAAAATGCGCATCAGTCGCCTTTTCAAGCAGCTGATCCCCATTTGAATAGAGAGCCGACCTGGACAAACACACGATGGCCCGTTAAGTGAACAAACAGCTTCACTGTGATGTTAATGATGTGTTTGGACTCTCTTAGCTGCCGAGAGAAGCAGCAGATGTTTCATCTGATTTCACCATTTAAACAGTAACCGTAATATAGCTACTCCTTTGTGGCCCGGGGAGAAAGTCCCAGACTCCCTTCAACAATCGTGCAGTTTCAGAGGACACTTTAGAAACTTTGTGAAACGCTGTCTACGACTAATTCTTAATGATTCTGCCTTCCTGTAAATTCAACATTAAATGTGACACATGAAGTTATTTCTGTCTTTGTTGTACAAAAAGCTTCAGCAGGATATTTTCATGAGCCTCTGATGTGATAATAACAAGCGCTTCATTAAAACTCTGCTCTGTGTGAAGCACACTCCCTCATACACATCAAATATGATCAGCTGGTTTCAGGAAACCAACTAACTAAACTTCATCTTCTGCCTGAAATCAAGGAGCCATGTTTCTAAACGGCCTTAGCGACAGTAACTAAGGGGCGGGGCGAGACGCCGTGACATCGCGAGAACACTCCGCGGGATCCCGCAGCGCTCCTGTATCTGAGCCTGAAGAGCTCCGAGACCAGAATCCAGACTCAGTCCAGGACAACACGGTCCACCAGTCACAGCGGAGACCTGCAGGACGATGGAGAACCAGAACCCGGACCGCAGGAGCCAAACAGCAGCCTCGTGCTCTGATAGCGCCGATGTTCAGGTCAGTGTTCATGACTTCATCACGAGACTAAAGACACGAGGAAGAGTCTCGAGGGTCCGTGTATCATCCGTTCATTCTGTTGTTAGAGATCAGAGCCTGAAAACCCGCTCCAGGGTTTGTGTTGACGTGGTTTGATTTCCAAAGTGTCTCCGTGGTTCCTGTTTTCATCTTGAAGAGAGGAAGCTGAAAGAAAACATTTCTCTTTTCTTTGTTGTGTAACTGTCGCCATTTTCCCGCGCGGCGCATGCGCGGTGCGGCCCGTGTTGTGTCGGAGGCGCGCAGAACAAACAATGATGGTGAAAATGAAGCAGAGTCATTATATTTGCTCGTGTGTTGGTGAGTTTCTGAATGATCGTCGTGCAGGTTTCAGCTCTAAATAGTATCTGTGACTCGTGGTGAAGTTAGTTTATTATTCAACATTCGTTACCTTCAATAGCTCTGTGTCAATCTTCATTTCTCCCAGTTCTGGGATATACTGGAGAGCCAACTCAGGCAGAAGTTTCACAGTTGTGATCACCTCAGAATCACTGAAGACAACAATGCAGTCGAGAGCAATGCACTGAATGTCTGGGGCTTAGGGACCGTCTGCAAATGGCAACACATCTATTAACTTTTTTGTTTTTCAACATAAAAATGTCAAACCACTGATAATATAACTAGGCACCACCCTGAAAAGGTTTGTAAGTTTGTAAATAAACATGAAAAATATTTAATCAATTAAATACTTATATTTAATAAGTTCTGGGCCAGATCGGTAAAACGGACCCGGGCCGGTGTCCTTTAGCACAACGGGCCAATGCCGGTTCGGATCCGGTTTTCACATCTGGGCCGGCACTGGTCCAGCTCCAGGACGGATGACAATTATTATGTAGTCATTTGGCCCAAATGTGGGCCAGATCTGGACCAGTTCCATACTGGATCTGGCCCAGAGTCTCTAAGATACTGTTGAGGATCCGGTTTTCACATCTGGACTGGCACTGGGCCAGCTCCATTTATTAGTTCTGGCCTGGATTCACACCACCTCTGGCCTCTTTCATAACCTTAATCTATACCCACAAAACATATACAAAAATATGATTTTTTTTGTTAAAGGGATAGTTAAAATTTCTACCATCAGATGTTGTGCATGACTCACCAAGTGCTATGGATCCTACTACTAGATAACAGTGAAGGTATAACCTTTCTGTCTGAGAAGCCAAAGGGTTACTGGGATAGTTTCAACCACAGAACTTATGGCAGGAGCTGATCTATATAATGTATAACAAATAGTGACTTGTATATCACTAAGATTTCTTGTTTTACTTATGTTTTCTTTTTCCTTGCATTTTAAACTCGATTACTTTTTTCTTTTGAATTTAAAAAGCATGGACAGTCAAAACTACTGTTAAACTCTGTTACAAAGACTGTTTCTATTTGTCCTACACAGAATTTCAACAAAGAAAGTGATAGAACAGATGAGTGACACATTTTAAATCTTATTTGAAAAGTTTGAGATAAAAAGAGAGGACAGAAACTTAAAACAAAGTAGATAATTGCTAAACTAACATTCTGTCTTTAACTGTCTTTAACAACTGTAGGAACAAGAAACTTCACTCCAGTTGACTTGCAGGTGCAGGTGATTAGTTTCTAGTAACCGTACAGTAACCACACACCTATGACACAGGTGTTTTTAAATGAATGCATTAGTATTAAACTCTAATAATAGCAACAGTGTGGCTTAGTTAAAAAGCTCAATACATTGACATTGCTATCAGTCTTGCATAGTGTAGTGTACCATTAGTAATGATGATAGTAAGAAAGTAAGATTTGATTTCTCCCTGAGAGAGATGAGAAGATAGATACCATACTCTACATATAAAGCTAAAGCCAGGAGACACACAAGCGATAAGTTTGTCTTGATAGATGATTACTGCCAGCCATTTAGATTTTAACCATTTTCCATGACCATGGTATAAATAACAAAGATTTTATAGCCAAAATACAATATCCAACTCCAACTAGTCACATGAAACCCAGAAAAAACTGTAAATGCACATTGTTTTGGTGGCTTTACGGGAAACACTGATGAGGCAAGTGGAGAAGTGGGAATGCCATAACCCTCACATGACACCCAACAAATCATCAGTAGTGGAAGAGTGGGGGATGGCCGATGTGTTCATTCTGCAAAAGATAAAAGAATGGCTGATTACTCAACTGATAATGGCAATCACAAATTACATAAAATCCACAGAGATTAGTTATTTTAAAGGGGGCTGGACTAGACTAGGGCTGGAAGATTTGACCTAAAATCAAAATCCAGATTAAGTGAACATTTTACTGCGATTACAACTAATGAATGATTATTTAGATTTTTTTGCCCTCCTAGTTCATCTACTAGTTACCTCCACATATAAAACGTATACAAAAATACTTACTTATCAACAGAGTTCTTGTCAGCATTTCTTTAAAATATTTCTTTTCCCTTTACTCCTTTCCAATTAATCTGTTTGGCCACTGTGTTTGAGAAAACCATTGAAAGTATATTCCAAGATTGAACAGTAAATACTATTAACAGAATGTTATCTGTGAAAGTTGCTAAAATAAGGATGAAAGACCCAGTGGGTAACGTTACCCTGCATGACAAATGACCCCAGGAGCTCAGCTCTGCTAATGTTACAGGTTTGCACTGCATTGTGATATTGGAACAAACCCCAGTGGTAGTAACGTTATGTACAAAACATGCAACAAAAAAATGTGAGGCAAATTAAAAAGAATGAGAAATGCTGATTGTACCACTGCCAGCCATCTCAGTGTACTGATATCATGAACCTCATTGTAATTTTTAACTGTAAAATTTGATGAATTACTGGGAACAATCAGCCTCTAGACAAAACAAATAACATTTCTTACAGCTCCTGACAGAAATCTGAGGGTAAACACTTGGTAAGCTTAACATAGCACACTATATCCCTCGGAAAACGCCCCAAATAAATATCCAGAATGAATCAGGAACTGCTCCTCAACCATAATACCACAGTGTGATTTCATACAAAGTCAATGAAAAGACACGGAGAGAGGAGATTTCCCGCCCATAGACCTTATTTGTCATAATGAATTTACGTTTTGATTAATGTCAGATGAAAATTCCAACTTCTTTAGATGGCTTTGATTTTTTAAACACTTAACTTACCTATCATAACTTTATAAAGTTATGCTAACTATAGCCAAGATCAAATCAAAGCCGGAAAAAAATACTTAAACTTACCCTATTAATCCCGGGCTCTCAGCCAGGGGTGAAGAAAAGATTGAACCTAAAAAGGTGACAGGTGCTGTCAATTGGTGCTGTTGGAAACTAACGTTACAATATCGTTGTTCTCCAGCACTGTGCTTTGGCTTGTGGTGTAAACTTATGTAGTTTCTCTCAGCACTCTGTTTTGGTTTTGTCGGTTACATTTGTGAAACAATAAGCTGATGAAGCTAAGACTAATTAGCAATAAAACGGCAGCTTCCAGTGATGAATCTCAGATCAGCCAGCTAAACGGATGGTGAATATTATTAGTAATGAAATGGTAACAGCAGGGAAGCTCAGATCAGCAGCTGAACATTTTACTGCCCTGGTGGAAAACATGCATTTCTTTTTACTGCTAATGGTGATATATGCCACTGTGCACACAAATTTGTACTTTCACACGCTAAATTCCCATTCAAAACATCGCACCGTTTTGCCACAAGCTGAAATTATGCCCGTCTGTACTACTTTGTGTTTCTGTTGTATTTAAAAAAAATTAAAAGGCCTTGATCCTCACCGGACAATGCCTTCATAAACATGTATTGTTTGCGTGACATACTGTGCAAATGCATATATTTCCTGAGCTCTGTGTGAAGCCGCAGCCTGTCGAAGAAGGTGGGCCAGATAATGTTTTTAACACACTAAAATTAGCTTTGTTAAACGTTAGGTCTTTGGCAGGAAAAAAACATTTTTAATCAATGATTTTATAATCACTCACAATCTTAATTTCATGTTTAACTGAAACTTGGTTGGACCAAGATAACAGTGCAGCTGTCCTTATCGAGTCTACCCCTCCCAGCTTCAGTTTGAGTGAAGCTAGAGTGCATAAGAGAGGAGGTGGAGCTGCCATTTTGTTTAATGACTCCCTCCAATGCAAAAAGATGTCTTATGGGAATTTTGCTTCTTTTGAATATGTGGCTCTTCAGCTGAATTCTTCTTCTCGAGCTATTTTTCTAAATATCTACAGGTCCCCTAAATACAGTGCAAACTTTTTTGATGACTTTGGTGAACTGCTGTCTATAATCTGTATTGACTTTGACTGTGTGGTTACTGTTGGTGATTTTAACATCCATGTTGACAACCCCCAGGACAGAGGGACTAAAGAACTGTGTTGTGTTCTTGATAATTATGGACTGACTCAACATGTGACGAGGCCCAAACACAATAAGGGGCACATTTTGGACTCGGTCATCTCCAAGGGTCTGGACATTTCCAAGGTTGTGGTGACTGATGTTGCTCTCTCTGATCATTCCTGTGTTTTCTTTGAGAGTGCTGTCTGCGTGCACTTTCTTGGCACTAAATAACTGTTTTGATGTCTTCCAGTCAGGTTTTCGACCACACCATAGCACTGAGACGGCTCTTGTTAAGGTCTTCAATGACATCCATTTAAACACTGACAGTGGAAGAATTTCATTCCTAGTATTATCTCAGTGCTGCATTCGACACGGTCGACCACAACATATTACTAGACAGACTTGAAAACTGGGTTGGACTTTCTGGCACAGTACTATACTGGTTTGAATCCTACTTAAAGGAAGGGACTACTTTGTGTCTATAGGTAATCACACATCTGAGCTAACAAAAATGACATGTGGAGTTCCCCAAGGCTCCATTCTGGGACCTCTTTTGTTTAACATTTACATGCTTCCACTGGCTCAGATTATGAAAAACAATAAAATATGTTAATGTTAAGAACCACAAATCAAGCCAGAAAGCTAAGGATAAATGCAAATACAGTAAGATTGTTATTCACGTTGGCGGTAATGACTCCCGGTTACGCCAATCGGAGGTCACTAAGATTAATGTTGAGTCGGTGTGTACATATGCAAAAACAATGTCGGACACCGTAGTTTTCTCTGGACCCCTGCCAAATCTGACCAGTGATAACATGTATAGGTGGTGTCCAGAAAACGATGTGGGCTTTGTAGATCATTGGCAAACTTTCTGGGGAAGACCTAGTCTGATCCGGAGAGACGGCATCCATCCCACTTGGGAAGGAGCAGCTCTCATTTCTAGAAATCTGGCCAAGTTTATTAGTGGACCAAATCCATGACAACCCAGAGTTGAGACCAGGAGGCAGAGTCGCAGTCTAACACACTTCTCTGTTCCTCCATTTCAGGAGTTACTTAGTGAAAACCCTACAGTGACGGTGTCTGTCCCCCGACCATTGAAATTATTTAAATCAAAGCTAAACAGAAGAGGAGCTGTGCATAAAAACGTCATAAAAATTAAAAAGTGCAAAAGAATCAGAAAATTAAATGTGGACTCAACCTGTTATGAGGAGCATTAATGCCTCACTGTGGGCATTTTTGTCCGCTAAGGTGCTAGATAAAAATATGAATTAGGCATAAGAAATACATTTTAAAATGTGTCCTTTCCAGATGCCAGTAAGTGGCGCTATCACTATGACTGGATATTGACACATAGGTCTCGAAGAGGTTTACTTGTGAATTTTGGGACAAATCTGACCATGTTTAGTCCATTTACATGCAACTTTTTCATGGCGAGACATCAATTAAATGGCACGCCATGGACACACCGTTGGATCAATCAAACACATCGCATGGCCCTTAAGATGGCACTACCCACATTTGAGGGTGATCGGGTTAAAGCTCTAGGAGGAGTTTGCTAAAGTATGGAGAGTGTAAACCGGTTGAAATTTTGTAAATAATTCCAAATGGCAGACTTTCTGTTGGGTTTAGGGTATGGCTCCAAGAGGGTTAATTTTAAGTGTAGAGATGTTACATCAGACCCTCACATTTTGTACAGTTAAGTAAAACGTACGGCGGGGGCTGCTTCTTTGAAATTTTGTAGGGGGCGTTGTGGAGCCATTTTACCACAACCACCCTGCACAACCATATTAGACAACAAAGAACGCCGTTTCTGATATGCCTGCCAAGTTTTGTGAGGTTTTTAGCATCCCAAGCCATGTGAAGGCTAAAAGTCTCACAAATGGACAATTTTGTCCCTAAAGCTATGTGTTATAAAAATAAGGGGTAAAGTTTGAAACATGTCCTTTCCTGGTGCCAGAAGGTGTCGCTGTCACTATGACTGGATATTGACATTTAAGACTCTAAAGGGTTGAAATGTGAAATTTGGAACAGAACTGATCATGTCTAGCCCATTTACATGTTGCTTCCTTTTTCATGGCTAAGCATCAAAATTCTACGCCACGCCATGGCCATGCCGTTTGAGCAATCAAAGCTTCGCAATTTGACATCACAAGGTTCGTAAGATGGTGCTACCCACATTTGAAATCGATCGGGTTAAAACTCTAGGAGGAGTTCGTTAAAGTACGGAGCCTGTCAATTCGGTAAATAATTCAAAACGGCCAACTTCCTGTTGGGTTTAGGGCATCGCTCCAAGAGGCTTTTTGGTATGTCTGGATATAAGACATGTGCCACAGAAATTTCATACATGTAGGTCAAACGCATTAACGTTCATTAAAGGTCACTTCCTGTTGCCAGCAGGTGGCGCTATGACTGTGGGTGAATGTCGGCATGTACATGTGATCAGGGCGGGACTCTCATCCTACATGTACAGTTTGGTGCAGATGTGAGCATGTACACTGAAGTTATAATAACTTCCTGTTTCATGGCGAATTGACAAAAACTCAGATAGCACAACTTTTAATCGTCATTTTTCACCACTTCTTACGTCTGTGCGAATTTTGGTTTTGAGCTTGTTTAGGCCCCTAAATTGAGCTTAGTTTGCAGGGGGGAAAAATCCTTGCAGTTTCAATAGGGACCTCGCATGGTTTGTGCTCGGGCCCTAATGAAGCACACGCCTGTTTTCTCCGTTGCTTGCATCAGACAACCAGCTCGCAGCAAAACACAGGCTCCACGTAAGGATCCAAAACAACAACAAAGGTTTACGTGCTGATGCCCATCAGACCAAACAGGTTCAGATGATGTCAAGTAAGAACACAGTGAACGTCAGAAAAGCTGGAGAGAAACGGAGAAAGTCACGTTAGCTCGCCGAGCAGTTGCTAATGTTATCTGGTGCAAAGTTGTATCGCTCTCCATTTAACTTCACCAAAAACGCGATCCATGTTACTTTCCTGCATAACACCGGTATTATGTATAAGTGTTGATTTAGCCTGCAAGAAAGGATGTAACTGAGAAAAGCAAATGTGGAGCGATTTGTTTACTAAGTTGGCCTATAATGATTCTGGCAGGAGCAGCCAGCTAACGCTACAGTAGCTCGGACCTGCCGCTGTTTGCTTCGTAATGTTCAATTTAGATTTATTGCTCATGGACGCAGCAAAACTGCGACAACAACCCAGAGGAAGAACCGTGCACTAACTTACAGTAAAGTTACTTACTGCGGTCTAACTGTTATAAATCTTGTTATAATATTCATTCCAGCTCACTGCCCGTTTCGTTATCATCCAGTACATGTAGCTGTGCTCACATTGCTGTGCCTCCAGCAAAAGATACACTGATAGTAAAGATAGTTAGTGAAAGCAGCAGGCGAGCTAACGATGTAGCACGCCATGCAGTAAATGTACCGTGATCATGTAACGAGCAGCTGATAAAACTATTAATGTAACTTTGCAGTTTCCAGCTCTGTCTGTTCTCCCTGTCTGTCGATATGCGGCTTGCTGCGCATAATGAAAGGTACGGAGCCGGAGTTGATCTGCCTCTGAGACGGGAACGTTGAAGTAACGGAGTCTGAACATGACGGAGTGAAAAGCCACGGCCTGCATGCAGGTCTTTCTATGTTTATTGCAGGATTTCTGTATGAAAAAGGTTGTGTTTTGGATAATGCTCGCTCATGAGTTAAAGCGAGCACGTGTACGAGCACACGCCTGGTTGCAATCTTAGAACCGCCCCGCTAGTGGCTGCTGGAAACTACATAATTACCCTTTTAAGTCATGTAATTAATGTGACAAAAGACCGACTCACCACTAACACAGCCCTCTGCGTGTTTAGTTTCTACATGCTGCAGTAAGCTGCGGGCGGAGCCCTTTGGCTCCGGTAAACTCCAGTTAGCTCATTGTGTTCTTCTGTTTGTTTGTTTTTTATCAGTGGATCTGCACCTGATCGCCCTATGTAACACCCATGACATGAGTTGAGGATGTTTTAGCCAACTATAGACCTATATCTAAAGCAGTTGCCAAACTGTGACTTTCTACAGAGCAATAGTTTATAAAGGCACTGGTGAAAATTACTAATGACCTCCTAACTGCATCAGACAAAGGACTCGTCTCTGTACTGGTTTTATTAGATCTAAAAAAAAAAAAACACTCTCTCACTCTCCCTCATGATCACCGCTGCACAAATCTGTCAACACAGCGCAGTCAATGTTGGAGACCAAGCTTAAAAGTTATTAGCAAGCATGTAAGGAGCCTAGCTATTAGGGGTGAAACAACTAATCGACACAGTCAACAAAAATCGTTTCATGACGTCATCGGGCCGTAACGACACAGGCAGCTTAACGGACTAAAGTGATGTGAACAGTAAAGTTACTAAAACAAAATCAGTGCTGCAGTAACTTTACCACCTAAAACCTTCAGTGTGGGAGCACTTCACTATTCACTCAGCCAAAAAGGTTAACTGCAGCATCTGCAAAGCTGAGCTTTCCTGGAAACACCGGAGGATCTGAAGAGGATGCGCCTAACGTTGTTGCTCTGTGGATGATGAAGACTTGTCTCGGTAAGCTACTTTGCAAGCTAGCTTCCCATTAAACTTAACACTATGAGCGTTAACGTCTTCTATACAGTTTGCTTTGGACAATTTCATTTTTAATGGCGCTGTGACTAGCACATTTACGATGCACAACAGCCACGTTCACATTCCAGATGTGCCCTGACTTTACAATCAAACGATGAATCGCTCATGGCGACGTTCCCAGATGGAGAACGTGATGCTGCCGAGTGCGGAAGACAACACCGGACAATTTCATACTTTCTAAAGAAGAGAAAACGGTTCTCATGTCAATGCGTGATGTTACTAGTCCTCTTATTATTATTATTATGATTATTATGATTATTATCAAACAATGGTATCCTTAACATTACCATAAATATCTGTACCATAATTCATTCAGTCTGTACCAACATTACAGTCTGTACTTCTGTGTGGATATTGTGTGAAGGCTACACCCCCCCACGCCCCCAACCCTCTCTCCCTCTTTTATGGCCATCTCTCTCTCACCCCCAAGCAGTCGAGGCAGATGGCCGCCCACCCTGAGCCATGGTTCTAATCGAGGTTTCTGCCTCTTAAAGGAAGTTTTCCCTTGCCTATGGTCTAGACCTGCTCTTTTATGAAAAGTGCTTTGAATCGGCGCTAGATAAGTAAACTTGAATTGAATGGTGTTTTGCCAGTTAAAAGCTTTTAAGCTGCAGCAGCAGGAAATAAGTTTGCATCAGCAGTAACTTAATCCAGCATTTTTCACAGCTTACACTTACACCATAACGCTCTTCTCCTGCACTTGAAGTCAAAGTGGTCACAAATTCAGTGGTCAGTCTTTAAATTAGATGACTATGTAATAGACAGTACATACTCATTATGTGGTGATGACATCTCACTTACTGTGTTTCTCTCTGTTGATATAGAGAAAGAGAGGAAGAGATGGACCCAAACATCACCGCTGTCAACACTGTGACAAATCCTTCACAACATCTGGATATTTGAAGAATCATCAGAGAGTTCACACTGGAGAGAAACCGTACAGCTGTGACCAGTGTGGGAAAACTTTCAGTAGATCAGATAAACTAAAAATCCACCAACGTGTTCATCAGATATTTCACACTGGAGTGAAACCTCACAGGTGTGAACAGTGTGGAACAACTTTCAGTAGATCAGATTCCCTAAAATTCCACCAACGTGTTCACACTGGAGAGAAACCGTACAGGTGTGAACAGTGTGGAAAAACCTTTGCTAAATCAGGTAATCTAAAAATTCACCAACGTGTTCACACTGGAGAGAAACCGTACAGGTGTGAACAGTGTGGGAAATCTTTCGCTAAATCGGGTACTCTAGAAATTCACCAACGTGTTCACAGGGGAGATAAACCTTACTGGTGTGAACAGTGTGGAAAAACTTTCACTAAATCAGATTCCCTAAAAATCCACGAACGTGTTCACACTGGAGAGAAACCTCACGGGTGTGAACTGTGTGGGAAAACTTTTGCTAAATCATCTAATCTAAAAATTCACAAACGTGTTCACACTGGGGAAAAACCTCACAGGTGTGAACAGTGTGGGAAATCTTTCGCTAAATCAGATTCCCTAAAAATCCACGAACGTGTTCACAGGGGAGATGAACCTTACTGGTGTGAACAGTGTGGAAAAACTTTCACTAAATCAGATTCCCTAAAAATCCACGAACGTGTTCACACTGGAGAAAAAACTCACGGGTGTGAACTGTGTGGGAAAACTTTTGCTAAATCATGTAATCTAAAAATTCACAAACGTGTTCACACTGGAGAGAAACCGTACTGGTGTGAAGAGTGTGGGAAAACTTTCAGTAGATCAGGTACTCTAAAAATTCACCAACGTGTTCACACTGGAGAGAAACCGTACTGGTGTGAAGAGTGTGGAAAATCTTTCACTACATCAAGTGACCTAAAAATCCACCAACGTGTTCACACTGGAGAGAAACCGTACTGGTGTGAACAGTGTGGAAAAACTTTCACTACATCAGGTGAGCTAAAAATCCACAAACGTGTTCACACTGGAGAGAAACCGTACTGGTGTGAACAGTGTGGGAAATTTTTCACTCGGTCAGGTGACCTAAAAAAACACCAACGTGTTCACACTGGAGAGAAACCATACAGGTGTGAACAGTGTGGAAAAACCTTCACTGCATCAGATTCACTAAAAATCCACCAACGTGTTCACACTGGAGAGAAACCGTACTGGTGTGACCAATGTGGCAAATCGTATGCCGACAGGAGAACCCTTAGACGACACAAATGCCTCAGTATGACGGTTTTCACAGAGCCGAGCGAGCTGTTTCCTTCTGCCCTGAATACAACTACCTGTCATCGTGTGACTGTGCTGGACTAACGTCATGTGATGACAGCTGAGGAAATTTGATTTGGAAACAGCTGGAAAGCATCAGTCCGGACGTTTCTAGCCATTAGCAAAATTAACTGCATTAGTCAGGTTTCACCCAGTAGTGGGCAGTCTCTGCAATTTTTATACCACTATATGTAGAATTCAATTAGTTTGAGACAGTGTCCAGATTTGGACCTGAATCCATCACCAACACTACTTAATACCCATACACATAGGTAATCAGCTGAAACAAGAGGTGTGGGGGTTTAGTGACTCTTTAAGAAGGCCATGGGATGTGGTCAAAAGCTCCCACAAATAAGTGGTGTGTGAGGCTTGAGTTCAGACTCATTGATTACAGATGAGTTCTCCAAGGTCAAGAATGAACCTCCGCACTTGATGAAATATTGTTCCTGTGTGCTTCATACATATATTATTGTTGTTGAGCTGTAGGTTAAACGTGTTTACATTAAATAATCTGTATTCTACATCTATTATTTACTTTTACATCTATATTCATTGATTTATTTTCTATTACTGAATGTGGTTTTGTTCAGACTGAAACCAAATCCAAATCTAGTCGATGTAAAGAGACGCAGATTCACTCAGTTGGTCTTCTTTGAAGAAGACTGAAGCTCTCAACGTTGCTCCTGCACCATCTCCTCTGTGGGATGTTTGTACTGTTTGCAACAGTTAATGTGTCCTTGTAATTAAAACAGATTTGTGAGCAATATTTGAGGGAAATAGGCCTTTTGTGTACAAAGAGAAAGTCTTAGATCTTTGAGTTCAGCTCCTGATGAATGGGGGCAAAAACTAAAGTGTTTGACAAAACAGTTCCACAAAAACAGCTAACGCTAATTTCTTTGTCTGCTAATGATGTGTCTGCTTACACAGTGAGATGAGAGCATTCATTGATGAACTGACAGTTATAAACTTAATGTGACCACGTGACGGCCAAAGGGGAAACTGTAATAGAAACTAATAGATTTTACCTGTATGTACTTTTAATAATCCTCTATATGTCATTACTTTGTTCTTTGCTCATCTTATGTGGTGTTATAATTTCCACTAAGTGTACCAGTGTTTTGATATAATGACCTTCTGTGAGATTGTTTTGTGTCATGCTTTCCTGTGAGAAAGGAGTTTCCACTGTGGCTCAAGGCTGAGAAAGGCTTTTCTGTTGGACTTAACATTAAATGTCTTCTCTGTTTCTCTAATTTTGGTATGTGTATTTGTATACAGTATATTTAGGGAGACCTGAGAACAGCAAAGACAAAGAAACACAAACGCAGGCAGACAGAACAAAAGGACATACAGCATCAGAGTCACTACAGAGATCTAGTATCTTCAACCAAGTGCAGTTGCCCTTGACTTTAACCTTCGTTGGATCTGAAGATGAGTTTCTGTTCCATCATCTGGTCTTATAGAGATGGTGGCGCAGAGCTTTGTCTCACACGTTGCTCCAAAATCTTCCACAGGTGTGAACTGGGTTGAGACCTGGGCTGCATCTGAAAAGTCAAAAAGATCTCCTGAAGGAGAATCCATAAGGACTTAGGAAAAGACAACCGTGCGTCTGAGAGAATCCGGCTGCTCTTTTCTAGGCGACTTAACTGTTACTGATGTGGCCCAACGTTATGAAACTACAATGTTCTGAAGATGGACTACAAAAAGCGCATCTGTGACAATGCGCCCTGTGTTTTAATGCAGGCCATCTAAAGGTGGACAATATGATGGAAAACAGGCTATTACTCCATAACTAAGGTAGCAAAAAACCCTAAAGGTTACCAGTCACCAAATAATCAGGGATGGGATTTTCCCGGATTAATCCGGAATTCCGGATTTCCCAACCTGAAAATCTGACCCACGTGCGTCATATTGTTGCTTGTTACAGGCTGTGTCTAATGTTTACTTTGACTTTGTTGTCGATTGATCACTCATATAGCCTGTATACACTTTACTGTGTGAATGGTTGGTCGCTTTTTAAGGCGTCATTATGTTAAAGGTTTTTGGAACGTTATAAATTAATTTCTTGTAAATAGTTGTGACGGGGTTCATATAAGGCCTTTTCAGATGGCTTGGATCTGCGGGGGCGCTCTGCACTCCTGATCAACAGACAGGCGCTCCGCGAGGTATCCATGGCAATGGCTTCTGTGTAACTGGTCAGTCAGGCCACCAGGTCTTAAACAGGCAACAACCTCAGCTGCTGTCTCTTAGTCATTAAAAGTCATCTCCTCAACCAGTCCTCTGCTTGTTTTTCATGTTATTCCAGCCTGATAGGGACTTGTTGTACCACTTTTCAAGTCATTTGATAGGGTTATCCTCAATTGATGGAATGACTTCCCCTTGCGCAAGTATTGAAGAGAGAAGAAAGGTTCATAAAAGTTCAATAACTTTGATGAACGGAGGACATATGGACAGATAGGGCGCGGTGGACCCCCAGCGTGCAAAGCAAGCCTTCATAATGTTTTGTGGCTTTGGGAAACAATGCTCTGTGCTGTCCTGGGACTATTATGCACGGACACGGGTCTGGACGAGCACGGACTTGCTCACTGTAACTTTTCTTTTATGTTCAGAGTGAAACATTGTCCAAACACAATGATGAACTGCACCACGTCTGTACCACCCGTTTGTGGAGCGCGTTCCGTGCAAACTAGAATATATTTTATATATTAATTATAAATTGGCTACTTGTGGTGCTCCAAGAGATGGATTTAGCACTGCTAAAACGCCCATCAAAGTTAAGTCCCTAATATGCTCCAAATGAAAGCATGTTGCTCTGATAAAAAGCTGCTCCATCACGTCCGGGACTGGGCTTTACGCACTGACCCAGGACTCTCACATGAACCGGGATCAGCGTGCACCAGAGTCCGGGGACGCGGGGCCTTTAGCGGGGGTGTCGGTGCTCGCTGTTGCTGTCATAATATAAAGTTTGTCTTATAATAAATGCAGGGCTTTGTGCGCGACATGTCTGTGCCAGCCTCACCTAAAGGGCGTGGGGCTGTGTCCATTTGGGCAGCCAGTCTCAGTGCTTCAAGCCATCCGCTCATGCTCTTCGTTGTTTGTATGCAGTATTTATTTACCTTACAACATTTTTTGCTTATAGCCTTTTCATTTGAAGGTAGACATTTTATTAAAAGCAAACCCAAATAAAAGGCACCTAAAGCTACTTATCCTAGTCCAAATACAAATCAAAGCATGTTTTGACTGCTCAAATATTATGTAGGCTGTATAACGTCTGTGTTGCTCAAATATAAACACCAAAATTAATGTTTCAAATGTATCTTTTAGTTTGTCAGTGCGTTTTGTGGTGTTAGGAATTGTTTTCTTGCGCATTTCCGCACTAACTCAAAACTTGCGTACATGTACACCACCTCCTGAGCTGGCGTAGGATTTGAGCGTGCCATACGCCAACGTCCATATTGATAAATCTCAAAGTCACCGTGGTTTTGGGTGTATGCTGGAAATTTGGTGTACGCACTTTTCATAAATGAGGGCCAATATGTCAGCATTTCATATTTCTGCTAAATAGTGTTAACAGTCTTCTCATCTTGTTCTTATGTCCCCACCACTTTTCAGCACAAAGTGAGGCCCTTGGCTTAGGCCATGGTTTGGTTTCCCAGACTCCCAGCAGCTGCTGGAGCTTCAGTAATTCACAGATTTCAACAGCAGTAACACTGATTTTACATTTCACCTTAATGACTTTGAAGCTGAAGAAACAAACACTCGTCTGACAGCGTCTCATATTTATTGTGTTCAACTTGTTCCAGCTCTTCAGTGAAGTTCGGCTATATGGTGTTGTCACTGAGTGAGATATTTAAACCAGATCCTCCATGTTTTTCTGGCTGCTACGTTCCATCAAATGGAAATATTATTCAGACAAACTTCCCCAGAATAAAGTCTGGAAGCAGCAGAAGGTCTGTGGCTGCTATAAGATCAGACTGTCTGTGGCCTGAATATGATCACAGACATGTGACTGTCAGGTCAAATTAAACCAACATGATGGCTGACTCTTTTTTCTAGATGAGGGGAAAACATGTCAACATTTATAGGCCTATCAGGTTTGTGTTGCTCTGTTTGTGTGTTTGTCCTCTGTGCTTTTAATACCTGCCGCTGCCACAGAGAAGAGATCCTCCCCAAATATTAGCAAATGAGGGGTGTAGGAGCGACTTTGAATGGCATGGCCACTTTTTAATAAAGCTCATAAATGCTCATTTCTAATGACTTTTGAAAACAGACTGTACTTTTAAGTGTGGCTGAAAGAGGGTCTTTGCAGAGACAGAAGAAGGAGAATAGACTAGAGAGGGAGAGGGTCAGAGAGACAGAGTATAATATAACTAGAACAAAAACCGTGGAACAGCTGCTAGTCATGTAGCTGCCACAGTACAAATGTATTTAGTTATCCTAATGTTAGAGTTGTGAGCTGTCTGTGATGTTTGCTGTGTCTCACTTGGCCCTGACTCTCCCTGCAGCACCTGTTTGTGAACACAGAACTGTCTTCGCTGCAAACTCTGATGACATGCTGTTGGTCTAACAAAGTCTTTTACTATGTGAGTTTTAGAATTTACTACGTCTACTAGCTATCCATACAACTTACAAGCTCGTCCTCCTCACTTTGTTCTACTCCTGCTCCTGCGACATCCGTCCTCTTCCTCTTAAAATACTGCAGGATGCTCGTCTCTCTGTGTGAACATTGACACATGCACACCTCAGGACACAAGTTTCTTAAAAAGTGGCCCAGGAGTTTGTCCCTGGTCAGCCCACTCTCCGGACAAAGCATTTGTTGGCTCTGGGTCTTTAGAGACCTTTATTCCTGCATTCTTGAGAATTTTATGCAAGTTGAGTACATCAATAAATGAGCCATTAAAATACTAAAACCAGA